GGGGGAGGGGCAGATGAACACTACTTGAGGTTGAGAACAAATCGGTGAAAAATAAATCTGAACAATACCATGATTTCCCTAAGGGAAGAACCCTGGTGGGTGGTTAAGAACTGGGCTGCTAGCCACAAGGTCAGAAGTTTGAGACCGCCAGCCTGCAACTCAGAAGAAAAAGGAGGCTTTTTATTCCCTTACTGAGTTTGTGCAGTGAGATCGGTTTATGGTGTTACCTAAGAGACATCTCATGCCTCTATTTCCATTTCTCTCCAAAATCCTTCTCCCCCTGCAAGCTCACTCCTCAGCTTTCACTTCTCGATCTGAGTGTAACTGTTCCCCCTCTGACCTCATCTTCACCTCAGTGTCTCTCCTGTAAGCACCATCACTGCTTTTATTAAATTCTCAAAACGCGATTCAAGGATTAGGTCAAGTGTGGTGAAATCTAACCTTCTTGTTTTCATAACAAACCACCGGGAGCTTGCTTACTCTAGTGATTTTGAAACCCCAGACTTTCTGAATCAAAATTCACATTTCAGGCGTTCCAAAGAATTCATGTTAAAATTCAAGTAGGAGAAGCACTTATTGATCTATTTAGCCTGGAATGACAGATCTACCATGAAAGTCTGTGAGTCATGAATATTATACACTTACATCCTTATCCACGACCAACCTTTGTCTAAACAGCCTCAGAATTTTCCTTAACTCGTTCATAACAAACTACTGCCGCCAGCCACAACTTAATTGTGGGAAACAAAGATTTCTCCAAAGTTGTCTCCCCCAAATATATGCCAAACCCAGACAATGCTTGCTACACATGGTAAATGACTGTACACAAGGTCACTGAAAATAGGTCAGAGGTTATGCTCCTTAAGGGTACCTAGAGCAACCAGACTGTATAATCTGACTCACCCTAAGTAGGGCCCACTCCCTTCTGATATTGTTCCCTTGAAGGAGTGCCCAACGGCAAGCCTGGGACCACCCAAGGATGACTAAGGTTAGGTTACTATATCGGAGTTGAGGGTCCACCCATTTTGCTACATACATACCCCTATTCCCCCCTTTACTATTGCGATTACACCCCTAGGTCACCCCTCTCCTATTGCTTGTACCACCTGTGTTACAACCCCTTCTCAGGCTGTACATTGTTATCTGTAATCAAAGGGCTTGCATGCCCCCAAAGATATATAAGCTTTGGTCAGAAATAAAACCTCACCAGAGCTCTCTCCTGCCCTCTCGTCCCCCACCTCCATGTGTCCCACCAAGAGGAGCTGAGGTGAGCATGCTACCATGACAAGTGTCAGACTTCTTTATTTTACTCCATCTCTCCCTAATCTCTTTGACTTTACTATGATCTTTATATACCTTAACCATACAATTGCTCCCGCTGAGCCCGTGATTAGTTGGGGGGAGGGGCTGGCTACCCCCACACTTAATTATGGTTGTCATTTCCAAAACCCGTTTGCATATCAGGAACTGCTTCAAATCCATCCTTAGCCACTTGGTCGCCATGGCCGAGGTAGTCAGCATGCTTTAAAACGACGTCCGACAAGTGCCTTTTCCAATGGGGCAGTGTGGGGCTGTGCCACACACGGTTTCCTCAGCTTTAATTGTCAAAGACCTTCATCAAGGAGGGCTCTTTGAGGCTGAAGGATCTC